TTTTTATTTTTTAATATCCGCATACACTGCAATGGATATCTAGTAGTATTTACAAGGAATTCGACGTTTCGTAATTACATTGTCCGCCCATAATAAACAAAATTGGGCGGATTAAGTGATCAGTCAATGAGACACATATTTCGCCTCAAGTCATATTAAAATATATGAAAAAATTATATGAAAAGGAAAACAAAATCACGTCGTTGAAAAAATAAAGCCGCTGTAAACCGACCCTTACGGTAATCTTCAAGGGAAAATGGAGTGGCAAAGGTGACTAAAAGTATAATGAAAGACGCTTTCCTCCACACGACGGCTTAACAAAAACAGGCTTGACGTCAAAAATGAATCTGCGCGACGAAGAAAGCAACGCGAGCGAGAGAGATGCCGCTACCAGGGCTTCATTAAACCAACCGCTTGTACTTTTATTTCCGCTCTCGCGGAGACGCCGTTTAGAAAGTGAAATGGACCGTGTTATGGTACATTTATGACCAGAAAATATCCAGAACGGCTCCGCCTAATCGTTTCGATTTCCCGCTTTTTGTGAGGGCGGTCGCCGTTGAGGGAATCTTAATAAAGGCAGAGGATATCTTTTAAAACCGGTGAGACGAACTCCCATCCGGAATGGCTCTTTTCACGGGGACCAATTTACGTGGTAGGACTTTATTTGGATATTTGGGGAATATTGGTAAAAATTTTAGGCTTGAGAATCATCGCAATGGGAAGGCTGTGTATTTGAAGAAGTTGACGACTATATTACGCACTCTTCCAAAGCTACGAATTATTATTCAAAAGCCGGTGTAAAACCAGAGTACGAATTATTCCAATTCGGAAATTATAAATTACTTTAATAAAAAAAATCATCAACAACAAATTTGTAAAAACACGCGTTACATACAAAGCATATTAAGTGTGAGAAATAAAAGGAGCCTGCAAGAGATGCTAAGGAAAATCGAAAATGACGTGGAAAGCTTAAGATTGTTATGATATTCTAAGTTGAAACGTTAGATAAGTAAATAGCATAATGTAATGTTGGAAATTTATTTAATTTATTTATTTTAAATTCACGTTAGAAAAAGTTGAGAAAGACTGACAAGAGGGATCTAAAATACCAGACATGAGAAAATGAAGGATAAAATTTACATATAGAATAAGTTTCTTTAATAAAAAGACAAAATCGTTAGATGAATACATCAATCTGTCAAAATAAACTACATAATACAAAATTTTGAATTAAATAGTCTGTAAAAGGCAGCAATATATAGTAGCAAAGTTAGAAAGTACAATTTTGTAAAGTCATGTATCATATAGAAGCACTGGTTTGAGGAAATTTGAAATAAATTAAGATTTTGACAGATAGATTGACGGAGAGAAGGAGTTACACTTATAAATAGAATTCATGCAATAAACTAAGGCTATAATTAAAGTTTATCACCTTCGGTCTATAAGTGCAATCAAAATTAAAGTTCTTTCTATAACTTCATATAGCGATTTTCGGAATGTCAAAACGATGATTTAACATTGTGTGAAATTTGTTGTGTAGAAAGTATTTATAAGATGTAAATTGATTTGTGTTGTGTTAAAAAGACCTTCTAGTAATATAAAACTGTATTTAAATTCCAATTTACGTTCCAAGTAGTGTATAAACATTATTAGTTGTCAAAAAAATGGTGGACCTGAAAACATTTTAGTTATTAATTAATTCAAACAGAAAAGACAGAATAGTGAAAATAAAGAAATATCAATGTCGTGGAACAGTAACATAAACATAGAATTAAGCGAAATAGCACAGTTTGGTTAAATTTTGCAAAAATTTGAAAAATTTGTAAAATGTTTGAAAATGAACGTAGAAGAAAAATATACATATCTATTGAAATTTACAGAAAATTATGTAGAATCTGAATATGTAATTGTCATGCTGCAAAAACATACATAAAGGCATAATTTCCAGTTAAAGAAGTTCATGAAACATCAATATAATGGATCCATAGCAACAGGTTCTTTTGTCTTCAGTTTATAAAAACTAGAACAGGGCTCGTAGTAGTCAGTCTTTCATAATTTGCGAAGTTTTAAACATCGTTTAGTTGCGCCTAAAATAAACAGAAGCAAATCAAAATTAAGTAAATAAGTAAATGGTGAACTTAGTTACCAGTTTTGAAACGTCAATCGACATTCAAAAGTAATCTGCCATCTGCCAAAAGTGTAATTTTCCTCAGCTAAAATTTTTCTCAACTAACCAAATACCTACTGGAAACGTACATAATGGGAACAAATGTTATTTAACCAAAAGTGCAAAGTATAAATTGTCAAATAATAATTAGTGAAGTGCAGTGGGAAAATACAACGCCAGGTGAAATGCAAACCCTATTTACCATTGGAAAACTAAGCACATGGGACCAGTTTTACGAAACTGAAATCCAACATCGACCATCACGAGGATTACGTCACCTGGAAGGCATCAACGAAACCAGCAATACATAAATGCGTTAAACAAATAACTATTAAATATTCTTTCACTCTTTATATAGACATGCGAAGGATATTGTTTTCGTTTGAGTTCATATTTTAATTGGTTCTAAAGGCTCCAATTTTACGACGATGCAGAGATTTAATTATTTAGCAAGAACAAGAGCAAGAACAAGAAGTACAAGAACAAGATGAAGACCAAGAACAATAACAAGAAAATAAACTAGAAAGAAGAGAAATAAGGGCGAGAATAAAGGCTTTTTGTTATATCATGTGATAACATACACTTTATATACGATCAACTCCTTTGTAGATTATGTGACTAATTATTGCAGAATGTCACAGTCGACGTTCGATCACACCTTTTGATGAGCACCAATTCTTGAGGTGGATATTCGCTGTTATTTCTCTGAATATCGGAGATTTGTGATGTTGTCTTTATCAGTCGTCAAATGTCCTTACCCGATGCTTGTGGATTTCGTTACTAGAAAATTCCGTATTGTGTTTTTAGGGGACTCTCGACAGTCTTCAGCGGTCGATGTGCCAGCGGCATGGGGCTCTTTTGCTTTTTTATGTGTTTGGAGGGAGTTTACGTTCACTGGACAGATCCGGCGGAAGAATTCGGAAGATCGGTGAAAATTTTGTACTCGGACGTTTATAACTGTACCTGTATCGTTTTGGAGCTTCAACATTGGTGAAATTTGAATCTAATATTCTAACACGATAACAGTTTTCTTCTAAGCATTTTAAGACTATTTGAATGAATCAGTCTTGATGATAAATGTTGCCAATTATTTACGTAAATATGGAATGTTGAAATACTGCGAGACAAGAACGTTCACTTTATTTACCCGCTGGTAAAACAGATAAACGTTTTACAACCTACAAATCCCGACATATTGTTTTAGCTTTTCATCCGACACTAAGTAAATACCCAAGTTCCGTCGATGGTCGTTCACATTCATGGCAAATTTGTCCGGGGACTCGACACGTCGCCGAACTGGTCTTTGCCCGTATGACGGCGGCCCTCGGAAGATGTATAAATAAATATAAATATAAGGCGGTTGGCAGGCATCCCGGCAGGACATTTGTTTGGCTGTCGTCCTCTGTCGCGGAAACGGGTTTTTTTCTCGGGGCTGAGGCCCCCCCGAAAACCGGGCGAGTTAAAATTATTGACTTGATCTCGCTGTGAGTTCCTTGAACTTCGCATATAATTCTGAATTATACGTATAATCGAGTAGCCGGGGATATGGGGCTCGGCCAGAAGAACCAAATAAAGATCCAATTTCATTTCCATTTATATGAAATTTTGGACATTAAAAATAATAGTTTTTAGTACATGTCAAATGATGTAATATTATTGTACCTGAACAATGTGGTTTCTTTGGGAGTCTTTCTACTATTACTAATCTCTGAATACCCACAAACATACCCGATGTTTGTTCCGCAAGGATCTACCCATGGTCCATTATTATTTACAATATTCATTAATGATATTACTGCTAATTTGGATATAAACGTTCTTATACATCCCGATGCTATTAAGACTTTCTTCTAACAACTAACTCGGATTGTCACCATCAAAATCTTAATCACATTAATTTATGGTGCCTCTAAATGTCATTAAGTGTAATGTGATGTCATATTGCCGTATACTTAATCCTTTAATTTGTAACTACCTGTTGGAAGACGTTTCACCACGGCCGACATGATTTTTATAGGTACTGTCTATTTTATTTCATAGATTATTTAAACTATTATTTGTTAATTATTGATTCCATGCTTTCCTGGTATCTGATGGTTATTTGCTCCACTATGGTACGTCCCCTAGATGCTTATTTCGCAGCTACAAATCCATGGCATAAGCTAGCGCTTCATTGATTGTCTTCATAGACCTTATAAACTACTATTAGGCCAATGATTGTCTTACATCTGGCTAATAGTGAACCTTGCTATGTTTCGCAGACTCGAACACCGTTAATAAAAACTTGAACTGAACTGCTCCATAAAGTCCTGTGGAGCTGTTGGATATGCCAGATGAACTATGTATGTATAGCCCATTGGCTATATCCGTCTCTTAAAAATCCTCATTTGTTTTTTTGGGTCCTACTTTTTAGCTGTACTTGGTAGATCTGTTTGTCACCGATTCTCATTTCTAAGTTTTGCACTAGGTGATTATAATTATTGTATCTTTCGATGCCTAAAGTTTGTAAAATTCTAAGGTTTCACCTCTCAATGATACTACTAGAGATGTAACTTTCATACTGTCAGTCCAGTTATCAACTTTTGCTACGACATTAAACTGTTTCACGTAAATTTGCCAAGAAGGTTTGCCATCACAAACTGGGGGCTGAATTTTGGACGAACCTTGATGAGGCTGTTCAATTTTGACAGTTCTTGTCATGGAATCACGCCTTGTTTTAATATTTTCGAATTATATCTTCATATCTTCTATTTACTTCCTTACAATGGTAATCTCTTCTTCCACTGTTTTCTCTATGTTCTGAAATTTCCTCCCCACGTTCCGAACCGGTTACCTATTTCTGTCTTGATGTTATTCATCCTACTTGCTTGTTCATCGAATTGTTTCTTTATGTCATCTTTCATACTCTGTAACTGATTTTTCACGCCACTTTTGAGTTCGTATTTCATATCTCCCACATCAGATCTTAGTGCATCCAGTGCATCCTGTCCCGTCTGCTTATAACGCGTCTTATCAGATTCTAATACATCTTACCCTGCTTTCATATTTTCTCAAACTTGGACAACTTTGACGTTAGTAATTCTTTCCCGCATTGGCGCGACCATTTATATATTTCTCGTTGTTTCGTCCGTTGTAAAAGAACAACGTTGCTGTTTAATCCAATATTATAGCGATTTGTATTCAACTAATCAAGCGTGCGAATGTGGCACATCGCTACCCGTGGGAATGCCACGCACTTACGACGTCCGTTGAGGAGAAGGCTGTGACTAAACGAAATAATTGGTGTCATTCGGCGTGGTGTGCCATGAAACAAACGAAGAAGATCAGTCCAGAGTGTGCCGTGATCCACAATTTCGCTTTCACCGTAGAACCGACTCGGATTCACTTTTTAGGAGATTATGTAACACGTTCGGACGTGAATAAAATGAGACCCATTGACGTACGTGTAGAATCGTGTATAAATTTGGGAACGTCTGGGGAAAGTGTGAGCGATGTCCTCGGATTGCGGATCCCGTATCAGGAAACGTGACAGGACGAAAGGATAAAAATCTACACTGGGGGATCTAATGGAATGGACAGGGGAGAAAAAAGTGTTCGTCCTTGCCGACTTGGGATGGCACAGATTTGTTTTATCCTCCCGTTTCGGAATTGTTATCGAGAAAAAATGTATGACAACTAATAAAATAATTCAAATGTTTATTTATTTGTTTATTTAGAAATATTTAATGAGAGTAATGATCACAGGATACAGAAGAGTGAAAGTTGAATTAAAGAAAGAACTGACGTTAAGGATAAAATAGCATCGAAATATAAAAACGAGTCGAAGAAAAACTTAACTACGAAACAAAAACAAACAAATAAAACAAAAAGTAAATAACATATACAACACAAACANAGATTTGTTTTATCCTCCCGTTTCGGAACTGTTATCGGGAAAAAATGTATGACAACTAATAATAATAATGTGCTTCAAATGTTTATTTATTTGTCTATTTAGAAATATTTGATGAGAGTCCTGATCACAGGATACAGAAGAGTGAAAGTTGAATTAAAGAAAGAACTAACGTTAAGGATAAAATAGCACCGAAATATAAAAACGAGTCGAAGAAAAACTTAACTACGAAACAAAAACAAACAAATAAAACAAAAAGTAAATAACATATACAACACAAAAAACTTTTTATATTAGTCATAGATGGAAAACATATTAATTGAATATTGCAAACATTATAAGTGTGACCTCAAATAATAATAATCGAGACATATTCTAGTTTGCAACACACAAATCCCAGATATAATGTACAGGGTGTGGCGTCTTTAATGCAGAAAATTAAAAACCTAGACTCTTGACAATAAATGAAGTAAAATAATATATGCTACCATAAGGCGATCGTGAGATTTGAGTATCAAAAATATTTTCCAAAAAATTACAAGAAGTAACAAAATGTTAATGCCGGTCCTGTTTAACATAGCGCAAAAAACATTGACCTAGCCCGCACTCCGTACGGCAGTTGTGGAGTGTCAGTCAGTTGTCAGTGTCAGTACGCGGGTGAATTGCTGCTAAGTTGAGTCAAAAAGATCGCGCTTCTACTGTTTAGACGTTAAGTGTTTATTAAAGACGTTTCTTATTTTTTAAGTTATTGTTTTAACTAAATCGGCAATGGATAACGAGGACAACAATAATACGTTTACTACTATCGAACGATAACGATAAGTTTGCATCTTTTTTGTTTGTCGTGATCCAACCTATCACTTGTTAAAATAATAGTAGTCATTTCTGTAACACCATCTACAAACCTCTTGTCTGGGATTGCACATTATCATTTACAGTGAAATAACTAATTGAATTTTATGTTTATTTTTCCTTTTAATTAAAACGGGCTTCATTATTAAACAAATATGATGATCAAATGAAAATTTAACATCAAATGTAACATCAAAGTCAGTAAATTGCGTTAATCTATTTAACAATTCAGCAATTTTATAATATCTAAATCTAGATAGGATTTGCGTCGACTTAAGACTTAATTTTACATTCAGCAGTAGATTATTATTTAAACACCAACTATTCAGTTTGTTAAGATTGTTTTGTATTTTAGTGTAAACAGTAGAATATGTAACTTTCGAAAACTAATGAAAATCGTCCGCATAAAGTAATTGACATCAAGGCATTCGGTTAGATCATTAATAAAAAACAAATAAGAGTGGCCCTAGAATTGACCCTTGGGGCACCCCTGAAGATTGAGGTCTATGTTAATTTAAATCAGTATTACTCATAGGTTTACAAAGTTTTTTCTACAAATACAGGGTGTTTTTAAATGAAGTAGCAAAAATGGTACCAGTGAATGTAGAGCCACAAATAAGAGGATTGAAGTAAAAATACCTTATATGAAAGTTGCACCCCTGAGGCGATATACCCTCTTAAAAGAGGGGATTGAAATTCACATTTTAATTTTTTTTCTTCAACATAAGGAATGCTAGAGACACGAAACTTGGTATGAGCATCCTACTAATAAAGAGACAACTTTTTAATATTTTTTCGATCATTGGCGTATTTTATAAAGGAGTGAAACAGTCAACCCCATTACAATATTTTATTATAATTTTTTTATATGATGCAAATTATTTATTTAAAAATATTTGTTGGGAAGACTGATTTATTGCGCAACTTTTTTACCTCTTGTAATTTTTCGATAAAACCGATAGTTTTCTAGTAAAAAAAATAGATGTGTCATCGTTCATTAAAGGGGTAATTGCGAAAATTTGTAAAAATAAAGTAGGCGGATTTCATAACGAATAAATTGTTATTTATCATATTAATAAATTGACACTTTCTGTCAACCAATAATTAATACCAACTGATTAATTTATTATCAGAATAATTATGGCAAATAATATTTATACCAATGACGAATATGTCAATATGCTCCAAGTGTTTTTCGAATCCAGAAAAAATGTAACGCTGCAGTAAGATTATACCGCCAAAGATATCCAAACCGACCGATTCCTCATAGACAAACATTAGCCTCGGTGGAAAGAAGGCTTCGCGAAACTGGTAAAATTCAGCCCGATCGTGAGGGTGCCGGAAGAAGGCGTAATAAGACAGGTGTCCAGGCAACTACAAGTTTCGCACAGTCTTGTGTGGAATGTAGCTCATGAAAATCTTTTATACCCTTTTCACCATCAACCCGTGCAAGAATTGAATGACCCTGATTTACCTAACCGCGTGGATTTTTGTCAATGATACATTAATATTTCCAGGCATGACTTAAATTTCGTAATGAATATACTTTTCACCGATGAAGCAATATTTTAGAGTATGTACTGTTTATCTAAATAGAAAAAGTTTTGTGTCTCTAACATTCCTCATGTTAAAGAGAAAAATTAAAATGTGAATTTCAATCCCCTCCTTTAAGAGGGTGCAACGTTCATATAAGGTAGTTTTACTTCAATCCACTTATTTTTGGCTCTACATTCACTGGTACCATTTTTGCTTCTTCATTTAAAAACACCCTGTAGGTATAATTGATTTGTATAAACTGGACTTGTCACTAAATGTAAAATTTTGAGAAATATGATAATTTAACAATAAAAGATGTACTAATAGAGATTTTGTTATCAACGTGTCATATCATGAAACATATTTTGCTGTCAAAGTTATTAGATGTTTTATTTTGTTTTGAGACAATTACAAATTGTATAACAATAGTCAGTAATGCGTATAGCAGATATTTAAAGTAAAAACAAATGTAACTTAACCTAGGAAGCAAAAAACTCACCCAAATAATAAAAACATTTGGTTACTAAATATAATTTTAACTTTACTTTAAATTGATAAAAAGATACTTTATCTTGTCTTAATTCAATAGGTAATTTATTTAAAATTTTAGGCCCCAAATAATTTGGTGACTTATTGGTAATTGACAATTTAGAAAAAGGTACCCGAATATTATTTTTATGCCTTGTATTTACACCATGTATGTCACTACGTAAATAAAATTTTCGCTTATTTTTAAAAACATAAATACACATGTCAAATATAAATAACGAACTTAAAGTTAAAATTTTGTATTGTTTAAAAATATATCTGCAGGAATGTTCAATGGGTACACCAGCAATATTGCGCAAAATACGCTTGTGTGAAATAAAAACAGAATGTGGGAGGGTGGAATCACCAAAGAAACAGACACCATAACGAAGACGCGATTCTACTTGAGCATAATATAAATTAAGCAACTGGTTTTTGAATAAAATTGTTTTCATGTTTTTAAATAAAAAATTTATTGAAACGAGATGGTTGCAATGCACTGCCTAAAGCGTCATTCTTAATGATACAGTTATTAATTGTTATTGTTAGGTCGTCACATTTTCTCTGTCTGTTATGAAATCTTATCATTTGCGTTTTATTTACATTTAAATATAAATAGTTCTGATTAAACCATGCACATATATTTTCAATCGTTTTATTAATATTGATGTTAAGATTTTTATCCGAGTTACTTGAAATAATCAGAGATAAATCGTCGGCATACATGGTAAAAGCTTTGTTACCTATTACATTTTCTATTGAGTTGACATACAAAACAAAAAGCACAGGTCCCAGAACAGAGCCCTGGGGCACTCCCATTTCAATGAAGCTGTAGTCAGAATTGATCTCATTCAAAGTATCGGATTTAATGTGTTGTATAGAGACATATTGTTTCCGAAATTTAAAAAAACACAGTAACCAGTTCAATGGAACACCTCTTATGCCAACATAAAGTTTGGTAAGTAAATTATCGTGATTAACGCAGTCGAATGCCCTACTAAGATCACAGAAAATCCCGACAGGGCACTCGCCTGCATCAATACATCTAATGACTTCTTCATAAAAAGAGTGTGTAGCCGTTATAGTGGACCGCCCTGAACGAAATCCGTGTTGGTTATTAGTTAAAATTCTTGTTTTGTTTAAGAAATTTGTCAAACGTTCTAAATAAACATATTCAAAAATCTTTGAAAAGCTGAGAGGAAGAGTAATTGCTCTATAGTTTTCTAATGATAAACGATCACTTTTTTTAAAAATAGGTAGTACTTTTCCCAGCTTTAAAGTGTCGGGAAAGATACCGGTTTGAAAGGATTACGAATATGCTTTCATTAAATTGTTTTCCATTGCATTTTCGCTTTCTGTCACTTCGTTAATTTGATAGTTGGTTTAAAAAAAGTAACAACAGTCAGTGGCGGCGTAGACATTTTTTTAACCCTTTTTTGTATTTAGAATTAATAACAGAACAACTGATAACAGAATGAGAGCATTATTTGATTTTACTACCTTTACTTTTCTCTTTGATTTATTTAGAAGGATAAATTTACCTCCTTTCAATTTTCTTCTCGAAGAAAAATCGACACGTTCCCGTACGAGTCAGGTCGACCTCATCGTACGGCACGAGGTAGACCCGGCAACGCCGCGCCGTCACCGTCCCGGCACGAGGCATCCCTCGTAGCAACCCCCGGCAGCAAAAAGTGCGCCTCAGGAGTGTGTTTACGTTCCCGACGCAATCATTCCGTAGCAGTTTGTGTCCCCTTTATCTCCTAGCCGGGACAAATAGGTACGATAAAGAGAGCAAGGAGAAAGGATATAATTAAATCGGGCCCCGTCGACGGGCGGCGCGATGCCGCCGCCGCCGAGATGATATATCTGCCCCCTTCTTCGCGAGCGGCCTTCTATTCTAATTAAATGATTTAAAGCAGAGACATGTGTAAGTGACAAATACCCTGGCAGCGGGGCATTTGTCTGGGAAGTAGCTTGTCTCTCGCAAGGGGTTACGTCTGAATTTTCACCTCTGTTTCCAACTTCGGAGGAAGTAATTTTAACGTGGCTATACACAAGAGCATTACATTTAGAATACAATATTTTGCATGCCATGTTAAGTAGGTATTTACTTTGTAACAAAATTGTAGTTAAATATTTCACCGATCAACATTAAAGACGTAGTTTTAGTGACAACTGTCAGGAACTAAAGTGTCACATTTACTGCCTAGGCATTAGAATCATTTTTACTGTCGCTAAATTAAAAATTAAAATATGTTCTTTAACGAAAGTAATTTTATTTATTTTAAACATTTAGAGTGAAATTAGAACAACTTGTAAGGGATATCCTTTACCCTGTTTGTTTTGAAACATTTACTTCGTCTATGTAGGATGAATTTTTTTCACTAGTAGATGGCCCATGAACTACTGAATCCTTCAAAGTGGTCGAATTATTTCAAATATCGCTTCTAGTACTTGATGTACTTGCATTAGGGAGAATTTTTTTGCTGATTTACAAGTTATGGACTCCTCAATGTAGTATTCAGCTACCGTTGCTGATTTCCATCCACCAGGCATTTTTAAAGTTGTGATATCAGCTCCTCAATTTATTGATAGTGTAGCGTAGGGAAACAATATCCGGTATATTCGTGAGCATCCTTCAATTTGAGAAATATAGCAACTTGTTTTGGTATTTTCCCAAATGTATGAATTCCTATTAATTGGTTATATGCTTTACCATTTGAATATATGTCTAAAGAATATTTTTTTCTTTGTTTTTATAGTTCGCAGAGTGATCTAGCAATCTATTTCCCATATCTTCAATAACTCTAATTTTTATTTGAAGTAATTCCTCACATCGACACACCCCAGATATAAAATCATTGCCACCTAAAATAATAATGGTCAGTATTCTTCTTTACAAAAACGTTTGTTTATAATAATTACCTTTGTACATAAATACGTACCATCAGGGGCCCCTATTAGAAATTTTTAATTTGTTCATTTTCTAAAACGAGTAATTCTTTAGCACGATAAATACTCAGTGTATTTGGAATTCCTTCGATCTATATACAATGTGATGATAAAATTTGGAACTTTTATACTGAGACATATCGATTTTGTTCTAGGGGGACAGGCATCTTTTAAAATGATTCAGTTGTGTACATGGTGACTCAGAAACGCTGGACGGCCAATAAATTTGTTTTTTCTTACGGAACACCCTGTATATTTTTCCATATTCGGATAAATCTTCCTCTTATGAATACAGTGATGCAGGTTTTATAGGTCTAGCTCAAATAACAAGCGAGATATTGCGAGAAAATGACATTTAATTCAAAAAATTATTTAATGTCATTTTTCATAAAAGAAATTGTACTTGGAAACGAAATAAATGCAAATAATTAACGAAATTTAACGTAAATTTTCAAATTGTCCTCCACCAACAATTTGGCACTGGCCCACGTGAGTGTAAACCCTTTGCACACTACGCTCAATAATTTCTGGGATGATTATTTCCATTTCAGTACGAATTCTCAGTTGTAAGTCTGACAAATTGTTTGGTCGATTGAAGTATACCCTAGATCTTAAATAACCCCATAGAAAAAAATCCAGAGGAGTCAAGTCGGGGGAATGCGGGGGCCACCTCAAGAAATCCTCTCCGCCCTATCTATCTTTCAGGAAATAATATCATCAAGATATTGCCGAACTTCTAAGCCAAAGTAAGGTGGAGCTCCATCTTGTTGAAACCAAATATTTTCATAAGGTATATCGCCGTCTGCAGCATTGGGAAAAAGAACTGCTACAGCCGGCACCAACTCAAAACGCAGAAAATCTAAATATCTAGGTTTTCTTAAAAAGTAAGTAAGTAACCTGAAAATCGCCTTCCTATGATTCCCACCCATGCATTTAATTTGTCTTTACGCTGACTGTGGAATTCTTGCGCCTAATGGGGATTATTGTCATTTGCAAATATCTACAATTATGGCGATGTACTGAATCATTTAAACAGAATGTGGCCTTGCCAGAAAAAAATATGTTGCTTAGAAAGTTTGGATTTTCATCACACCGTAACATTAATTGTTCACAAAAGTGCAACCGGCAGTCTGGGTCATCCTCATTTAATTCCTATATCAGCTGGACTTTATATCCATGATACTTTTCTGTACGAAGCAACTTTACAACATATGATTGGTCCACATTGTTGTTTAGGGCTAGTTGTCTTGTTGAGTGATGAGAATTTTCTTCAATTTCCAGCAATACATATAAATTGGTTTCTTCAGCGATTGGAGGTCGATCTTGTCGTATCCTATCTTTTACATACCCAGTCTCTGTAAGCTTGGGACCAATTTACTCACCGTAAATCGTGCAATTGGTAGTCCATCAGCATGTGTTTGATTAAACAGCTCACATGCTTCCGCATGGATTCGTAGCTTGTCACCATATCCAACCATCATTAATATCTCTATCCTTTCAGGTTCAGTTAAATGTGCCATTCCTTGTAAGCTCCAAAAAATTCAGTAATAAATTTGCCAAGTTTATTAAGGTTATAATAAGGTACTAATTTGTGAAAATGTCACGCAACAATAGTGTTTTTGTTTCTAATTTTTTGAAATAAATGTCATTTTTTCGCAATAAGTCGCTTGTTATTTGAGATAGACCCATCAAACCTGACATCACTGTATTCGCAAGAGAAAGATTTATCCGAATAAGAAAAAATATATATGGTGTTCCGTAAGAAAAAACAAATTTATTGGCGGTCCAGCTTATCTGGGTCTGTATACAACTGAATCATTTTAAAATATGCCTCTCCCGAGAACAAAATCGACCTGTTTCGACGTTTTTTTAAAAATCACTCAGTATAAAAGTTATGAATTTTGTTCCAAACTTTCATTATCATCACACTGTATATGAATTTCAACGTTAGGTAATTTAAGTTTTTTTTTAGTTTTTTCCCAGTCTCTCTGTTTTGATATCACCTATAATTTTTTCAGCATCTTTTTCTCATATTTCCACGGTTCCACTCATATGTTCTCGTCGTGGTGTTGTTATATTACTCATTTCCTTTCCTCTCATACAAAACCGCTTTAGTTCGTATAATTTTTTTACTACATTTCAATCATTGTTCTCAAATGTTCACTGTTCATTTTTTATAATTATTCAGTCTCTATCCAGAATACTGATTTGTAAACTTTTCAGTTTCTTTCTCTTTTTGTATAACAACGATCCGAAATACTTCTTTATCTTTACTCTTTTAATTGCACATATCATCTGCCATTCTTTTTCAGTTTGCTAATGTACGCTTCAGACTTATTCCAAATTATATTCCAGTGATTCTTCTCACATCAAATACCTCACCTTTTACTTTTCGGTTCAATTCACAATTATTTTAAATTAAACCGAATTTGTTCGATCTCTACACTTGACTGAAATGTTTGGCGATACAAGCGGGTAAAACGAACGCTAATTTTTTTATATATGTAAATTTTGATGAGCCAGATGTTAACTCCCACGAAATTTTCTGGTGGAAAAACAAAAATTCAAACGGAACGCTAGATATACAACGAGGAGTGTAATATTATAGAATTTCAGGCACAACCTGCCAAGCCTAGCGATATTAATTACACCGTGGGTGTGATCCGTGCAATTTTTTGCCGATCTTTCGAAACAATATACGAATATTTTCAAGATGACGCCAGACTGTTAACCAAACAAAAAAGTTTATTAACTCACAATTGTTCCAACAGTTTATACAAACCGTTGGTCACCGTTTGTCGTTTATTAATATCCCATTAATAGTTTAAAAATAGCCGTAAGGTGGGCAGCCGATGAATTATTCAAACCGGAATGAAGGTGGGTGCAGTTGCGGGTACGCCGTTTTGCCCTGTTTGACCGATTAACGCCGCCAGTCATTCTAAATAATGACGCGGACAGGAACGGTAGCAAGCGATGACGTCTTGACGGGCGATGACGAATATTTCACAAGCCGAAGAAAATCGAAGGAAAACCTTGTTTTAACGTCTAGAGGTACTTTTCCGTTGTTTATGAAGATCTTGTACGTGGTTGACTAAAGAATAGGCATTATAAAGCTGGAAGGGTGTTTTTTTTTGCTCCATGTGTGACCTTGTCTCTTTAAAGAGTGGCGCAGATGCCGGATTGCCCTGATATTGGATACAAGAGTTGGTATTTGAATTTCAAGACTTTCTCGCAATATCTTTAAATATTTATCAAACTACATTTGCAATAATAACATCTAGTAGTTAGAAAATGATGATAAATTCATCTATCTTCTTATTAACTAACATTCACTGGAAAGACGATAGTGTACAGGTATGGTCAATTGGTTTTGAGATTATCATTACTTTATTTATTGTTTATTTATGCATTTATTTAATTTAATTCATCTAAAGGAAAGGAATTCTAATTATAAAATAAATAAATACATTATTATACACTACGGGAAAAAATTAAAGGAACAAATAATTTTCTTGAATTTTTTAGTGAATTTCGAAATATTTCCGTGAAATATGGTCGTATCGAGATAAAATAAAAAAGCGTTTTGAAGCTTTAAGTATCTAATTTCAAGATCTTTAGACATTTTTTTGAGTTACGGTTGTCAAGCAATCAAAAGAAATACTTCGAGACATTTTTTTTCCAAATATTGTTTTTTAGGACTGTCCATGAACTTAGGAAATTTTTTTCATGGAAAATTATTTTCTCGTAGTATTTATTTTCATTGCTCAATATCTCAAAAAAATTTTTGTCTAAAAATCTTAAAACTAGAGACTTAAGGATGTATATCGGGTTTACTCAAATGCACAGACGTACTAGAAATTTATATAGCGTACTACCCAGTGCTCCCTCTGTGCGTCATATTTTTTTGTAATTTTTTTTTAATCTAGATTTTGAGATATTGTTGTTGAAAGTTGTTCGTTTTAACATAGGTTTATATGGCGAAGATGGACGGTGCGGCTTTTTTTGCCCATAACTGAGAAACAGATGTAGAAATTGTGTAATAAAACTTTTCCATAGATAGTACACAGTATTATCTTATTTTTGATGTAAAACTATTGTAAGTTTTGAACATAGTACAGCTGTATTAATTGGAAACAGAAACCAATAATTATTGCATTTCTGTCTGACTTGAGGATTAATGTGGCAACGTCGCAATCAGCTGACAGCAAGGAGGGAATACATTTGAAAGACTTGATAAAAACGAAATTGATTTCAAACATATACATTTTTCCTAAATCCCATGTACATTGT